CAGCGACCGAGGAATATTCTCAATTCCTCGGAGTGGAATATCAGGCCGATCCTGAATACGAGAACATTTTCAACATTAAAAATAATAACAACGACGAACTCCTACAGTGGAAGTGCATACCAATAACGTTCCAACCACGACGCCTGCCGCCGCCAAACATCCCAGTGAACGACCCTCGCCGCACGCACTACCTCCAAGTACGAGCCGACACGATCAAGAAAGTGCTACTAAAGGTAAGTGAAATTCACGTTAACCTAAGGAATCGCGCGTGTTAGCAAATTCAGAGACGCTTCTACCACGTGGAAGAGAACATTCTAGAAAAATCTCCGACGCATTTTTCCTCTTTTCCATCGTCACTGCGAAAGCTATAAAAAAAAGGTCGGGCTATAAAACTAGGGTCGACCACCACATGCGGTGCCACCCTCGGAATTCTAACACGGAAAAACGCAAATAGTTCAATCTCTTAAAAATCTTGTGTCTCAAGAAATAACTTCGTAAATCCGTACAACAAAGTAGTCATTTAAACAATAATCAATTGAGAACACTTTCGATTTATTAACATTACCGACGATATACCGACATACGTTCTTTTACCGACGTTATCGACAATATACCAACATACGTTCTTTTACCGACATTACCGACGATATACCGACATACGTTCTTTTACCGACGTTATCGACAATATACCGACATACGTTCTTTTACCGACATTACCGACTATATACCAACATACGTTCTTATACCGATGTGGCGATTACACCGTCACATACTTCCCTGAGATTAATAAGGAAAACACGCATACGAATACGAACACTGACATATACGAAAAGGACAAAGGCACAAATAAATATAAATAAAATATTACAGACGAGACGAAAGACGAGTAGGACAGAAACAAAGAAGTAAAAATAGATAGAAAATTCGCGAAGCCTCTCGAAGCCTAGCGAAGGGCGTTTTAGGAGGCAAGGTATAAATAGGAGATTTTTGAGATAAGGATATACCGTCTTCGATAGTCGCCGCGCACGGACGCATCACGTTTGTAATCCGAGCGATATATCTATCTGTATTCACGCGTACCATTTTGCCTTGAAGAATATATTTAGTTAAGTACAATCATTGCATAACTTTAATTAATTCCCGCATCGTTCCTCCTAAGCACTCGCGACGCGCGAAAGAGACGCTAAAGTGGTGACCCCGACGTGATCGCGAACGAGCGGGAATTTGCGATTTTTTTATATTTTTCTGACCACACGAATTACTGAGTGCGGTGCGTGTGCAATGGTGGTGACACGGGACGAGGAAACGAGCGTCCCGCTGACGGAGCCGGAGGCACGAGTGCTGGAGCAGCCGCGACTCCACGGAATGCCGATAAGCCTGCCCGGGATGCAACCGGCGAGATTCGAGCAGCCGCCAGGGTATTTTTTACCCGCCCCTGAGGTGAGCCGCGTGGGCATGCGAATGCCAGAGTTCACGCCGTCGGACCCTGAGCTCTGGTTCAGTATCGTCGACCGGAGTTTCCAAGCCGCCGGAATCACGGTCGACGCAACGAAATTCGGGTACGCGCTGACGGCCATCGGACCGCGCTATACGGTCGAGGTGCGCGACGTCATTATGAATCCGCCCGCGGAACGCGCGTATGAGACATTGAAATCAGAGCTGATCAAACGGCTCAGCTTGTCGCAGGAGCACAAAACCCGGAGACTCCTGGAGCACGAAGAGATCGGGGATCGCAAGCCGTCGCAGTTCTTGCGGCACCTGCGCGGCCTCGCCGGAAGTGTCGTGGGCGACCAGGTCCTGCGAACGATCTGGCTAAGTCGGCTGCCGGCGTACATTCAGCCGCATTTAGTGACGCGAACGGGAGACACGCCAGAACAATTGGCGGACATCGCGGACGCGATAATCGAGGCGACCCGGGCGCCGGTATTCCAAGTGGCGGAAGCGACGAGAGCCGTGGCGCCTCAGGGGCAGAACGCAAGTGATCCCGCGTCTCTGGAGGCGAGATTCGAGGTGCGGCTGGCGCAGATGCGGCTGACGATGCAGCAGGAGATCGCGGAGCAGATGGCGGCGATTCGGCACTCAATTGAGGCGATCGGCAGTGCGCGCTACCGAGGAAGTCGCGATGACGACCGACGTCGTCCGCGTTCGCGTTCGCGTTCGCGCCCACGCGCGCGATCGGGAGGTCGCGATCCGCCGGCCAGTGGAATGTGCTGGTATCACTGGCAATTCGGGGCGGACGCCAGACAGTGCAGGGCACCCTGCTCGATGCAGCAGGGAAACGCAGGGGCCGGTCGCTAGTGGCGGCGAGCGACTCAGGCCACGGTACGCGACGCCTATTTGTGACCGACGCGACTTCAAAAGTGACGTTTTTAATTGACACGGGTGCGGATCTCTGCGTGTACCCTCGGAAGATGGTTCGAGGACCACGACAGAGATCCACCTACGAACTTTCGGCCGCCAACGGCACACCGATTTTGACGTACGGAACAGAGACACTGCAATTGAATTTCGGATTACGACGGGCATTTTCGTGGCGGTTCGTGGTCGCGGACGTCTCGAGACCGATAATCGGCGCCGATTTTCTCGCACATTACGGACTGCTGGTGGACTTACGCGGATCGCGTTTAATCGACCAATTGACGAGTCTAACCGCGCGTGGACGTTGCATCCAATGTGATGAACCCAGCGTAAAGACAATTACGGGAGAAACGCAGTACTACCGATTACTGGAGCAGTACGCCGACATCGCGAGGCCAGACGGACGTCCGGGAGGCGCGATCCATGCCACGCGGCATTACATAGAGACGACACCGGGACCGCCCGTCGCGTGCAGGCCGCGGAGACTCGCTCCGGACCGATTGGCGGCGGCGAAGCGAGAGTTTCGAAAATGGTGGAAGCCGGGATCGCGCGACCTTCGAATAGTTGCTGGTCGGCTCCCCTGCACATGGTGCCAAAGAAGGGCGAGGAATGGCGGCCCTGCGGAGATTACAGGGCGTTAAACGCACGAACGATTCCTGATCGCTACCCGGTGCGACACATTCAGGATTTCGCGCAGGCTCTCGCCGGAAAGACAATATTTACAACGTTGGACTTGGTGCGCGCGTATCGTCAGATTCCGGTCGCGGAAAAAGACGTGCCGAAAACAGCGAACACCACGCCGTTCGGCATGTACGAATTTCCGTACATGTCGTTCGGATTACGCAACGCGGCGCAGACATTCCAGCGCTTCATAGACGAAGTTCTGCGCGATTTCGATTTCTGCTACGCGTACATCGACGATATCCTCGTCGCGTCATCATCGGAAGAAGAACATCGCGAACACCTGCGGATGCTGTTCGAGCGCCTTCGAGAATACGGGGTCGTCATCAACCCCGCGAAATGTAAATTCGGCCAGAGCAGCGTGGAATTCCTCGGATACGAGGTTTCCGAAGGAGGAACTCGCCCGCTGCCGGCGCGGGTGGAGGCGATACTGACAATGCAGTCGCCGAGGACGGCGAAGGAGCTTCGGAGATATTTGGGCATGATGAACTTTTATAGGAGGTTCATGCCCGGGGCCGCCGAAGTATTGACGCCCCTGAACGATCTTCTACAGGGGAATATCAAAGGAAAGGCGACGATATCGTGGACGGCGCGGGCACAACGGGCATTCGAGGCATCGAAAACAAACCTAGCCCAAGCTGCACTGTTGAGACATCCCAGGGTGAACGCGGAGCTCGTTTTGTTTACCGACGCGTCCGAGCAAAGCTTCGGCGCGTCGTTACAACAACGAGGCAAGGACGGCTGGGAACCCTTGGCGTTTTTCTCGAAAAGGCTAAGCCCAGCCGAAACGAAGTACAGTGCGTTCGACCGAGAGCTTTTGGCAGTTTATCTGGCGGTGAAGAACTTTCGGCACATGGTGGAAGCCCGCACGTTCGCGATATATACGGATCACAAGCCAATCATATACGCATTCCGCCAGAAGCCCGAGAAGAGCACGCCGCGACAGTTCCGCTACCTGGACTTCATCGGGCAGTTCACCACCGACATTCGACACGTAGCGGGCGTGGAAAACGTCGTGGCCGACGCGTTGTCGAGGATCGAGGAGCTCAATTCTCCCCTGGATTACGCCGCGTTGGCGGAATCGCAGGAGAAGGACGAGGAGATCGGAGAGTACCTGCGGCGAGAGTCCGGGCTGAAGCTCGAGAAAGTAGAGATTCCCGGAATCGGGAGAGCAATTTACTGCGACACGGCAACAACAACACCACGACCATTCTTGACAAGGCCTTTTCGCCGGGCCGCATTTGACCTGATTCACAATTTGGCGCATCTAGGAATAAAGGCGACGGGCAAGCACGTGGCGCAGCGCTTCGTTTGGCCGTCGATGAGCGCCGACTGCCGGGTCTGGGCTCGAGCGTGTGTGCCTTGCCAGCAATCGAAGATATCGCGACACGTGTCGGCACCGCTCGGAACAATTGCTGCGCCGTCCAGCAGGTTCGAGCACATCCACCTGGATATCATCCTGATGCCGGTCTCGGAGGGCAAACGATATTGCCTGACGTGCGTAGACCGTTTCACACGATGGCCTGAGGCGTTCCCGTTGCGAGATCAGGAAGCGGAGACGGTCGCGAGGGCCTTCTACGGAGGGTGGATCTGCCGATTCGGGGCGCCCGTGCGGATAACCACGGACCAGGGGCGCCAGTTCGAGTCCCATCTTTTTCGGCGGCTCAGCGAGCTGACGGGCGTGCAGCAGCTGAGGACGACGGCGTACCACCCGCAGGCGAACGGAATGGTCGAGCGGTTCCATCGCCAGCTCAAGGCGGCCATCAAATGTCAGCAAGAAGATTGCTGGACAGAGGTGCTGCCGACGGTGCTGCTTGGGATCCGAGCAGCGTGGAGAGACGACCTGCAGGCGACCGCAGCGGAGCTGGTGTACGGCCAGACGCTGAGGATCCCGGGGCAATTTCTGAGCCGACGGCCTACGGACAGCGAGGACGACGCTGCCGACTTCGCGGGGACGCTGCGTGAGCAGTTCGAGGAGCTACGACCGGTGGACGGTACCCGACACGGGGAGCGACGGCCGTTCATGTACAAGGACCTGGCGACGGCCGAACAGGTGTTCGTGCGACGCGAGGGGCCCAAAAAGATGCTGCAGGCGCCGTACGAGGGGCCGTACACAGTGATCAGCCGAGGCGACAAGGTCTTTGTCGTGCGTATGCACGGCAAAGAGAAAACGGTCTCAATAGACCGTCTTAAACCTGCTTACATTTTAAAGCCCGAAGCAGGAGATGGCAGCTCGGCAGGGTCGGCGACACGGAGCCGAGAGGATGCGGCCGACGGACGGGCGGCGCGAGGCCAGGACACCGAGGTCGAGCAGCGAGACGAGCGAGAGGACGCGAGGCCGCTGCCCCGAGAAAGCGAGAGGACGACGAGAGCGGGAAGAAAGGTCCGATTCCCGAGTCGTTTCCAGGCGGGCCTGTGACGTCGAGGAACCAGGATGTGCATCGAGAGCCGTGAGAAACCGCCGCGAAGAAAAAATATAAAAAAAAAAAAGGACTTATATATTTCTCGCGAGTTAATTTTTTCGTTTTGATGTTTGTTCTCGAGGAAAATTTTGTTTTTAGTATAATCGACACGAACCGCGGAACGTAAACGAAGACGAATTCGACATAGAAATCCGTATATAGATTCTGCGTTTTATCTTAATCGCGTTGAATTAAATTGACGAGTCTCGGACCGAGAGCGACGCGCGTTCGAATAGCAAGTTATGACCATATCATTATTATTTATTATTATTTATTATTATTTATTATTGTTTATTATTATTTTGTCGTCATATCAGATTGATTATGGTCTTTCGAATTCAATACAACAGCGAGCAAATTGTAGAATTCGTCTCGGTCCGCCAGCGAAGAAATTAGCGCGGAAACAGCGCAATATTCGGACGATATCGTGCTATCGGTATAGCACTGGCGGGGGAGTACTGTGGCGATTACATCGTCACATACTTCCCTGAGATTAATAAGGAAAACACGCATACGAATACGAACACTGACATATACGAAAAGGACAAAGGCATAAATAAATATAAATAAAATATTACAGACGAGACGAAAGACGAGTAGGACAGAAACAAAGAAGTAAAAATAGATAGAAAATTCGCGAAGCCTCTCGAAGCCTAGCGAAGGGCGTTTTAGGAGGCAAGGTATAAATAGGAGATTTTTGAGATAACGATATACCGTCTTCGATAGTTGCCGCGCACGGACGCATCACGTTTGTAATCCGAGCGATATATCTATCTGTATTCACGCGTACCATTTGCCTTGAAGAATATATTTAGTTAAGTACAATCATTGCATAACTTTAATTAATTCCCGCATCGATCCTCCTAAGCACTCGCGACGCGCGAAAGAGACGCTAAACCGACATTACCAACCATATACCGACGAACGTTCTTTTACCAACGGTTATCGACACCTTACTGGCACCTTACCAGTGTTTTACTGAACAATTACCGACGGTTTTGCCGACGACTACTAACTTCTCGATAACTGCCGGGTTCACCGAAGATCTACGAGCGAATGACGCATTATCAATTCGATTACGCAACAAACACAAATGTGCCCACTCACCCTTAGAGGTATAACTCCTCCTCCAGAAGTTAATCTCTTTGTACCGTTTGAACCCTTATTCTATTGCCAAGTTGGTGTCGGGTACATCCATTTTGAGACTAAGGCAGCTCTCTGCATTTCATGCTACTCCACCTTACCTAGAGTCTCGAAATTACTTTGGACAAGGATTCGGAAGCATACTCTAATCATAGGCGGAACACCTATCGGAATAAATTGCGGAGTCTGCAACTTCCGACTTACCCTCACGCGAATCGGTGATTTGTGCGAGCTTTGTCAGTTTACGTACGAAGATTACTTACGCAACCCCAACGACGTTTCGCATAGAGCAATCGACGAAGCTATCTTTATTACAGTAGAGTCACAGGTAGGTCCCACGCAATAATCCGATCACCTCAGTTCCAGCGCGAATAACCTCAGATTGCGAGTATCCCCGGGGAGAATCGCATAGATTCGCGTACCCGTAATAGCGATCGTGTCTCGTGGAAAAAGCCGAGCTCTGCATTCAAATTTTCGCAGCCGCGACCCCATAAGGTACGCATCTTTAGCAGGCTAGAGTCTCGTTCGTTATCGGAATTAACCAGACAAATCGCTCCACCAACTAAGAACGGCCATGCACCACCACCCACCGAATCAAGAAAGAGCTATCAATCTGTCAATCCTTCCGGTGTCTGGGCCTGGTGAGGTTTCCCGTGTTGAGTCAAATTAAGCCGCAGGCTCCACTCCTGGTGGTGCCCTTCCGTCAATTCCTTTAAGTTTCAGCTTTGCAACCATACTTCCCCGGAACTCAAAAGCTTTGGTTTCCCGGAAGCTGCCCGCCGAGTCATCGGAGGAACTTCGGCGGATCGCTAGCTGGCATCGTTTATGGTTAGAACTAGGGCGGTATCTGATCGCCTTCGAACCTCTAACTTTCGTTCTTGATTAATGAAAACATTTTTGGCAAATGCTTTCGCTTTTGTCCGTCTTGCGACGATCCAAGAATTTCACCTCTAACGTCGCAATACGAATGCCCCCATCTGTCCCTATTAATCATTACCTCGGGGTTCCGAAAACCAACAAAATAGAACCGAGGTCCTATTCCATTATTCCATGCACGCAGTATTCAGGCGAAGGTAGCCTGCTTTAAGCACTCTAATTTGTTCAAAGTAAACGTACCGGCCCGACTCGACACTCAGTAAAGAGCACCGCGACGGGATATTAGTTGGGCCGCCCCTCGCGAGGCTAAGCCCACCGGTAGGACGTCCCACATCACGCCAGTTAAACACCGCGAGCGGTGAACCGACGGTGTGCGACACAGATTCAACTACGAGCTTTTTAACCGCAACAACTTTAATATACGCTATTGGAGCTGGAATTACCGCGGCTGCTGGCACCAGACTTGCCCTCCAATGGATCCTCGTTAAAGGATTTAAAGTGTACTCATTCCGATTACGGGGCCTCGGATGAGTCCCGTATCGTTATTTTTCGTCACTACCTCCCCGTGCCGGGAGTGGGTAATTTGCGCGCCTGCTGCCTTCCTTGGATGTGGTAGCCGTTTCTCAGGCTCCCTCTCCGGAATCGAACCCTGATTCTCCGTTACCCGTTACAACCATGGTAGGCGCAGAACCTACCATCGACAGTTGATAAGGCAGACATTTGAAAGATGCGTCGCCGGTGCTAGGACCGTGCAATCAGCACAAAGTTATTCAGAGTCACCAAAATAAACGGTGGACGAACGGCGAGCCGCCCGCCACCGATTGGTTTTGATCTAATAAAAGCGTCCCTTCCATCACTGGTCGGGACTCTGTTTTGCATGTATTAGCTCTAGAATTACCACAGTTATCCAAGTAAATGTGGGTACAATCTAATGAACCATAACTGATTTAATGAGCCATTCGCGGTTTCACCTTAATTCGGCATGCACTGAGACATGCATGGCTTAATCTTTGAGACAAGCATATGACTACTGGCAGGATCAACCAGGGAGCTTCGTGTTCGGTTACTCGCAAGGGAGTAACTCGCGAGCGAGCCCGAAGACTCGTCGCTAGCTCTTTTTCGCGCGCGCGCGCGTTTGATGCCGAAACACCGACGCGCGCGCGACACGCTCGTATGTGCCATTTTATTTGCCGCCGGTCTTGCTCAGCCGGTCGGCGACACTCTGCTGTGTTTAACGCTATTATGTAAACAGTACGAGAGAACGACGGAGGCGAGAGTAAACCCCCGACGCCGCCGCCTCTCCTCTTCTTCCTCCTCCTCTCCGTTCAAAAATCCACAAGATCAAAATACTCGTGTTCTTATTCTCCCAAATGTTATGATGCGCGGTCTCGAGAGACCGCGCGATTCACCCTGACGCTAGATCGACGATGGCGATGCTTAGACGTCGAGGACTGTTCTGTCTGGTTCGTACGCGTTTAACCGCACACGACCAGCAATAAGATTTCGCTACGGCGTACAAAGCGAGCGGGAAGAAGCAACTCTTCCCGCAAACTCGTATCCGTGGAGTAGATGCTCGGTAAGCGCGACGATTCCGCTGCTGCGTACGAAACGAGAGGGAACCGCGCGGCCAACACACTAGAGGCGTGCGCGCCACATAAGAGCCATTCGGTCTTGCGACACCGACTCGTGGCAATGCTGTGCTCGTAATAAATAAGTGTGCGTTAATTTTGCGCGCGTTCGGCGACGAACGAGAAGAGCCGCACCGTAATCCCCGGCGAAGAGGAATACGAGACGACGCGAGAGTCGAACGTACGTTCTCGCGAGACACGCAACCTCCAAGCATGAGAAGACTTGGCGGCGGCGCGTTCTGCGACGATCGTATATTATTTTATATATTCGTGGTTTCCAAAATCAAACATTTTATATAAATGTTCTCTCCGTGTCAGAGTCGCGACTCGACAAAATCCGTTCTCGACCCGTTCGGGCGATTCTTCGTTTGTCAACGTCGAGAGCGCGACACGTACAATATTAATCTCTCCTACCTCTTATAGTACCCAACCGACCGGCCAAGCGGTCGGCGACGGTACGGAGAGCGGTCGAAACACGCCGGAGTGGCGAGAGACTCGAGAAAGTACGTTTACGACTCGTTCGGACTCGCTCGACTCGTTCGACGCGCCGAGCGCGACGTATCTCTTATAGTACCCAACCGGCCGGCCAGGCGGTCGGCGACGCACGGTCCTACGCACGGCCGTATGCGAGCGCGAGCGCCGAAAGGCGCGTTCAATCGAGACATTGTCGCGGAGAGCGAACGATCGAAAAGTCCTATTGTACGATAAAATATTATCACGATAGCCGTATGGCGAATGTCAAACAACGATAATTAGCATTAATTAAGAAGGAAACAAACGAAATGCCGGGACAATAAGGTATAAGCACCGACGGTACCTCCGGGTCGGCGGCACCTCCGGGCCGGGCGGCACCTCCGGGTCGGGCGGCACCTCCGGGCCGGGCGGCACCTCCAGGCCGGGCGACACCTCCGGGAACCACGGCCGACCGGCGACACTTACGGACCGGGCGACACCTCCGGGCCAGGCGACACCTCTGGGAACCACGGCCGACCGGCGACACCTCCGGGACGGGCGGCACCTCCGGACGACCGAATGATCTCTCGAAGTCAGACGACCGCCGGCGGTACCTCCGGAACACTTAACGACGATTTACGGCGCCGCAACGAGGAGAGCTACGTAAAAACGTTTCGGACGAAAGTTACTTACTATTCGGCGCTCGCTCGACATGAGGGCGCTGTCCGATTACTAACTCGAAACGTGCCTCTCAAACCCACGTGTCGGAGACATATATTTCGAATTATTACGGATGATACGCAACACGCAAGCTGCGGTGACCGCGATTACGGTACGGAACACTCGCCCGATGCGAAATCACGCGCGCGGCAACCGAGACGGCTCGTTACGGGCGTGATTATACGT